GCCTTAAGTAGGACGTCGGGTCTGAATGTCGAGCCTTAAGTAGGACGTCGGGTCTGAAGGTCGGGCCATAAGGCGGTGGTCCGGCGAGGTTCCAGTGGTGGTCCTGCGGTGGTCCGGCGCTGCTCCTGCGGTCGTCCGGCGGTGCTCCTGCGGTCGTCCGGCGGTGCTCCTGCGGTGGTCCGGCGGCTGCTTCTTCCTTCTCTTCTCTTCTTCTCCTTCTTCTCTCTCTTGCTTAGATCCCCTATTATGAAGAATGAGGGCTCTATTTATAGTTTTTCTTGAGTGGCATGGCTTGTAAATAGGTGTGAGATCACGGGCGAATAGGGAGTGGTTTGAATGGACGGTCGATATTGAACCCTTCGATCATGCACCGTTTGTTGGACATTTGGAGGCCTTAATGATGTCGGAATTCGGCGATCTTGGGCTCGTTGAATTCTTCTCGTTGAGCCGCTCGATTCGAGTATAAGCTCGTTAAAATCGGAGATTTTTTGGTAACTCAAATGGCGGTTTGAACCTTCCAACAGCGCTTCGGGTCCTTGATTCGGACTCATTTGGGCTCGGATTGGGTTGATCTTGGTGTCGTTGGGTTTGTATTTCCGAGACGCTCAGTTTGACTATAAGCTCGCTGAAATCAGAGTTCGGATGCTCCTGAAATTAAATTTTGAAGTTTCCAACTAGCTTTTTGCCTCGAGATTCGTGTCCGATCAAGATAATTTTTGCATGACGTATCAATAATAATATCACTACTTAGAATATAATAAAAAAATGAATGTAATTAAAATAAAATAAGAGAAACTAAGCTTTTTAAAGTGGTTCAACCAACTTGACATATATCCACTCCCCAAGCCCTATTCTTAAGAATTCCATGAGCACTCTCTTTTTCTGCTCCCAACAAGATAGATAAGTCTGTCTCTTTGTAATACATACTAAAATAGTATTCAGTTGCACCTGATCTAACTTGGTCTAGTAAAGAAAATGTAATGAAATGTATGCATTTAACCCCTCTTGTATGTGATTGTGAGTTATCTGTATGCATGTGAATATTTGAATCTATTTTAAAGCGAGTCCCGGGGGTTTATGTGCATGAATGAAAAATCTAAAACATTGTCCTTTGGAGCAACCCATCACCAAGGTGGTGACACTCAGGCATTGAGCTCTCAGTTTTGGTTCATTTTGTTCTAATTAAGGCTAGCACAACGATGCCATTGCCTGGACTGTCGTAGCACTATGATAATTTTTTTTAATAAAAAATATCATTTTCCATTAAAAATCTCCATTTTTAGAAATTTCATCCCCTTTGAGCCATATGCTAGAGAGAGAAAGGGAGAGATTTTAGAAAGAGAATTTATTTTGGGTGACTTTAATCCTTTTTTTATGTAGGTTCAATTCAAAAAATTCTCCAGTTCAATGTATGTTGCATTCCACCCGTCTAGGTTTTTTTCAATATAAAAATTTTAGGATTTTTCTGATTTAAATTATAATTTTATAGCATAAAAATAAGGATAGTTTTGCACTCGCTAAATTTTTACCGTAGAACTTTTAGTATGTTGTAGATATGTCATTTTGAATATTTAAGTATTTTTCTTAAAAATTTCTATTACATAATTTGAAATGTGTTATGTTTTTGCAAATTAAAAAAAAAAATTATGATCTCAAAAAATAATGTTGCAGTACATTTAAAGCTTCAAAATAATATTTTGAACAATACTTGATAATTTGATAAAATTTTAAAAATATGAAAGTTTGCTCAGTTGTTAAATATGTTGTCTACCAATATAACATTATTTGTATTTATAAAATTGGTTATTTACGATTCTATTATTACAATGGAATTATATATGCACTTATCTACTTGAATTGTATGATTTTGTGAATTTCTGATGTTAAGGAGATTTTATTATGCTAAATGTAGAGGGAGTTATAAGGGCATATTTTGATTATCTAATATAAGTGCTAAGCATTTGGGAGTCATACAAGTCTATTTTCTAATATACTAGCACTAAGAGTCATAAGATCTAATTTCTTATATGCATTTTTTATGGGAGGTATAAGGACTTGAATGAAAAATATTACTTTCTACTCTGATATATGGAGGACTTATTTACTTACTTTCTATGCATTGTTTATTAAATTTATGATAACTGCAAGTATTATCCTACTTAGTATAATAAATTGTTATTAACCGCATTTAAAATTTAGTTAAATGAATTATAGATTGGTTAATGAAAAATTAAATCGGTGATTGTGACTTGTTGAGCTATATTGGCTCACACCTATTTTGTATTATGTTTTAGGTAAGGGAAAAGGTAAAGAGACAGTTGAGTAAATGTGATCTTAGGTTCTAATCTATCTTAGTTTGTATAAGTATTTTCTGATCTTTATATTGTTATGCTATTTATTTCTTTACTTTGTTTTAGTCTATAGTCATGCATTATTGTTTGTGTGTGTGTGTGTGTGTGTGTGTGTGTGTGTGAGTGAGAGAGAGAGAGAGAGAGAGAGAGAGAGAGAGAGAGAGAGAGAGAAAGAGAGAGATAAAATTACATATAAATTGTATGATTTACATGATGTTGTTTATATTGAATGCTATTGTTCCTACAGCTATAGGTTTACTACTTCTTATTTGATGCATTGGCTTCAGTTATAGATATTGGTAGCTTGTTGGGCTGTTATGCCCATTATGTAATTTTGCATATGATCCTATAAAGAGGATATAAACAACATGCACAATTTTCTATTGTTTACTTATTTATTTGTTTATTTATTCATGATATATAGTATTGATGGACTAACTTATTTTGTATCATAACTATTGTACATATTATATTTTGGGCTTGTATCAAGTTGTAAATATTATATTAATATAGTTATCTTTTTTGTGGATTATATTTTTCTATTTATACAAGATTTGAAAGCTCTTGTTTGTATTTAAAAATGATATAAAAAAGAAATTCTTTTGACTTAGATTTTGGTGCGTGACAATGTGGTATGAGAGCAATAATTGTTGAAATAATTGAATTATAACCAAAGCTCACGAGTAGAATAAAAATGGGATTGTGTTTTACATTCATAAATACTTGTTACATGCACGATTGCTTATGCATTTATGTAAAATATCTATTAAATAGATAAGGAAAAGGTTAATGGACTAAAAAGGGAAGGAAATCCCAATTGAAAATGGGATAAGAGCCACTTTAGTTACACCTAAAGGTGTATTAAAGTTTACTAAAATATGTTGATTCTTGATTAGATTATTAAACCTAAGTTAACATCCCAAGGCAAACCAAGATGGAGGTGAATTGATAATTTAAAATTCTTGTGGATTTTTAGAAAACCATTTTGATTTTGTAGCAAGTTAAATTTTAAGTTTTAAAATAAACTTTTTCAACCACAGTAAATAACTTGCAGTAAAGAAATGCAAAAATTAAAAGACACAAAGATTTATAGTGGTTTGGTCAAACACAACCTACATCCACTCCCTGAAGACTCCCTCTTTAGTTATTATACTATTACCAAAGTGTCTCTCCATTTGCCCCCACAGCAAGGCAGAGAAGCCTTTACAGATCCTCTCTTCCACCAATCTCCGGTGCTGCAGAGAACTGTTGTCCTTTCACACTCTTCAAGTATCGGCATATAACCGTCATCTGTTCACACTCTCCAAGTGTCGGCAAAGAACCGTCGTCTATTCACACTCTCCAAGTGTCTGTAGAGAAATGTTGTCCTTTCATACCCTTTAAGTGTCGGTAGAGAACCGTCATCTGTTCGTACTCTCCAATTGTCGGCAGAGAACCGTCATCCTTTCACACCCTCCAAGTGTCAGTAGAGAACTAGATCTTCTTCAAAAGATCTTCTCACGAGCAACAAGAAAGAAGAAAAGAATAGTAATCAGCAAAAACATAAAGAGATCCTTACCTTTGAGTAACATTGTGAACCCTTCACTTACAAGAAATCTCTCTCAAATACTCTTCACACTCTCTCTTTCATTTGATCTAGAAAAATCGCAAAGATGAGACTTTTTCACATTAGTTTTAATGGACCTTTTATATCAAAGACATGAAAATTTACCTATATAACTAAAATTTTCAATTTTGAGCATATACAATCGTCTAGTACGATCGTATGTTTGTATGTATAAATAGTTCAAAAACTGTTGCATACGAACCATATGCGAATCGGTACAAATTGTTTTCGTATA